TTATCCAGTTTCTTCTGTTACAGACCTCTTACCTTAAGATGGTCTACTTGTTATGATTAATGAATTAGAACTGATCACTATTCTTAACGGAAGTCCACAGTTTATCTGGATTTCCTGAATTTTTTCCTAAGGTCTTGTTCTGGTTTAGGATCCCACCCAGGTTCCTGCAGTCCTCAGGCCTCTTGAGCCTCCTCTTGGCTGTGGCAGTCATTCTCTCCAACACTCCTTGTTTTCGATGTCCTTGATGGTTTTGAGCAGTGCTCATCAGGTGTCTGGGGATGTGTCTGAAGGGTCCTCTCATCATTAGACTGGGGCCCAATCCTCGACTTTTAATAGTTCCAAGGAGCTCCTGCCAGGCAGGTGCCAACCTAACGGGGACCTCTGCCCCTGTTTGGCAGAAATCCACACTAGGTACTTTTTCTCTTATGTATCTGTGTTTCAGAAGGAAAGGGAGGACTCTGATTGGTAGTTTGCCAAATCATCGGGTTCCAAGTAAAGAGAATCATCATACCTGAGACTCTCTCGCTGGGGTAAAGCCCTTGGTCTATGCGAGTTTCCATCTTCCGGGGTCACAGGGTGCATGTGGTCCCTCCAGCCAGGCCCTGCTCATCCCTGTTAAGACTCAGATCCTGGCACAGAGGAGCAGGAAGGGAGCAGTAGGGGACTTGGTCCTGTAGGGCTCTGGAGGGTTCTGTTTGCTTCCTTTCAGGCAACACTTCCTCCAGACTCCCATGAGCCCAAAGCCACAGTCCACAACCCATTCGAGGCCAGCTGCCTGCCAGCTGCCAAGCCTTGGCTCTGTCTCTGACCTCTCCACTCCCGCTGTTTCTTCCGAGGCACCTCCTCAGCTTTTGCATGTACGGAGAAGCTGCCTCACTCCCCACCTTCCTCAGGTGTTGTCTTGGCAGGCGGCCCTCCTTCCTAGATGACAGACCACACCATCAGATGGATCCTGACAGTCCAGACTGGGAACACTGCCATTTGATTTTGCCAGGGAGAATTCTGATCAGAAACACATTTACACATGAGGGAAGTGCTTGAGATACAGTCCTGAGATGATAAAAATACATGCCACCTTCTCAGAAAACTAAAAATAGAATGACCATATGATCTAGCAATCCCACTCCTGGGCATATGTCCAGACAAAACTATAATTCAAAAAGATTCATGCACCCGTATGTTCACTCTTCACAATAGCCAAGACAAGGAAGCAACCTAAATGTCCATTGGCACATGAATGGATAAAGAAGATGTGGTACATACATACAATGGAATATTACTCAACCATAAAAAGGAATGAAATAATGCCTTTGCAGCAACATGGATGCAACTAGAGATTATCATACTAGGCAAAGTTAAGTCAGAAAGACAAATACCATATGATATTACTCTTATGTAAAATTTAAAAATGACACAAATGAACCTATCTATGAAACAAGACAGAATCATGGACATAGAGGATAGAATAGTGGTTATCAAGGTGGCAAGAGGGATGGCCTTGGAGTTTGGTGTTAGCAGATGCAAATGATAATACATAGGATGGATAAACAGTCTTACTGTATAGCATGGCAAACTGTATTCAATATCCTGTGATAAACCATTAACAGAAAAGAATATGAAAAACAATGTGTATATATGTATAACTGAGTCACTTTTCTGTATAGCAGTAATTAACACAACATTGTAAATCAACTATACTTCAATAAAAAAAAGTTTTTTTAAGTACATGCCACCTTTTAAAACCACAGCAACCCAAGACAGGAAAGCTGCAAACAGAAGTGCATTTAAAACTCAGCAATGGGTTGCAGGTGTGGGAAGAAACCTTTTATAGGAAAATAATAGAGGGAAGAAAGTCCTGCCTTCATTGTCACCTGCATCTTGTCCCAGCGCAGAGCCTCACCACGTTCCAAGGCAAACTCCCAATGAAGGCTGGCTGTATCAACAAGGGATGCAGAGTAGGCGTTTCCCGGCTGCTTCCAACAGGTCACAGCCAGGACTTCCCATCTCTTTCCCTCCTTGCCTTCAGTCTGAATAGAACAGACAACTCTGTGGCTCGTTTTACCTTCCCCACCCTCCTCGTCCTAGGTTGAATCATTAGTCTCAACTCCTCACCCTCTGCGGCATCCACACTCTTTGCTCTATAGCTCTGCAGATCCCCCCGAATCTCCAGGGGATGGGGAGGGGAGCTTTGCTGCCCCATGATTTTAGATTCAACCAGGGTGAAGGAGCAGAGGTGATCGTACAGCGGTCTGAAATGTGCCTGTGTGACTAGGCGTGTCCTCTTATGCCTCCCCCATCACCAGGAAAAGAACACACCCCAGCTAGGTTGCTGGTCCCGGGAAGATGACAGGCTTATAGAACAGACCTGGATCCGAAAGATCCAGGCGGTCCAACTACATCCCACGTGCCACAACTAAGAATTCGTACACTGCAGTTAAAGATCCCGCGTGCGACAACTTAAAAAAAATCCTACAGGCCACAACACATGGCACAGCCAAACAAATAATTTTAAAAATTAAAAAAAAAAAAAAAAAAAGGGCAATCTCAACCCAACTCAGCTGATCCCAGTCAAGATTAGCCAAACCCCAGCTGACATGTATGAGAGACAGACAAACGCCCCCTGCTACTAGCTTTCAAGTCGTTTGGCACCAGCAATAGTACCTGCATAGGGATACACAGGAGCAAGGTTTCTGGCAAGGAGAGACTTTACGGGAAATGAAGCCTTCATGTCCCAGGAGACCATTCCTAGCTTATTTGAGTCTTCTTTTTTTTTTTCTTTGCGGAGATGCCACTGTCACTAGAACTCACCTCTCCCAAAATGCATTGGTGTGTTAGTAATAACAGTAATTAGCATTCACCTGGGGTTTTACAGGCAGGAGGGAATAGCAACATACAACTATCTTGTTTGGTGGAGAGGCCGGGATCATCACAGTCATTTTGCAAAGAGAAAATTAAAAACCCAGACGAGTTGGGTGACTCACCAGGACCGGACCAGGAAGAAGCCGTCTTAAGGAATAACATCATACGGTGCTCCTCACATGGGCATGGAAGTCACGTGAGCGCGCGCACGCGCACATGCGCCTGCGTACCCGCGCATGTGTGCTTCGTCACCTTGTCGTTATTAAAGGGATACACGCCAATGGTAGGAAAACAATACAGAAACGCTGAAAGCGTTAAGAAAATTAAAGTTTTGGGAATTCTTAGCAGTACAGTGGTTAGGACTGTGTGCTTCCAGTGCAGGGGGCACGCGTTCGATCTCTGGTTGAGGAGCTATGAGTCCACAGGCCGCACAGCTCAGACAAAAAAAAAAAAAGTTCCATTCTATCCAGTAGTATTTTATTTGTTATTTTAAATGCATTTATACTAACTATATATTTTTATAAGTTAGAAGCATACTGCATATATAAGAATATTTCCTATGGCATTTAAAATTCTTTAAAGGCAGTTTTTAATGAACAGTTTATGTTCTATGACTTACTCTAATTTGTTTAAATATTCTTTATTATTGTAAATGTAGCCTGTTTCTAATTTTTTGCCATGGAAAACAATGTTTTGGTGAAATCTTTGTTGGTGCATGCATGGTATGTGCTTAATGAATGGTAGCTGGTATAAATCTCTGTCTACATTCCTGATAATCTCCTTAGAATAAACTTCCAGATGAACTTCTGGGTTAATAGGTTTTAACATCTAAATAGTTTTTTATACATATCATCAAGCTGCTTTTCAGATAGAATGTCCCATTTCTATTACTAATGTTACAGGGGCCCCTTCTCACAGTCTCCTCACTAGTACCAAGCATTTTCTTTAAACCAAAGTATTCACTTGATTGGTGAGAAATAGTAGTTCATTGTTGCATTTTTCATTCCTAGTGAGACTAAAAGATACAGCAGGAATTTCCATGGCTGTACAGTGTTAAGACCTCACCTTCCAACACAGGCAGTGTGGGTGCAATCCCTGATTGGAGAGCATGTGAGATCCAAGATCACACATGCCTATTGGCCAAAAATTCAAAACATAAAGCAGAAGCAATATTGTAATAAATCCAATAAGGACTTTAAAAGTGGTCCACATCAAAGAAAATCTTTAAAAACTTACTCCATAATTATTAATCATCAGTAACAGGAGCCCTCTGGATCAGAGCCTGGCACAATAGTTTTGAATGAACAAATGACCAAAAGGGGGACCACCACGCTATGCGACTAAGTAGTACTGCTAAGACCATGCTAAAGATTGAGGCTGTTGATTGCGTGGATGGCGGTTTATTCCTAGTTCTTTCTAGATCAGTACAGTCAATTGAAAGCACTTCCAAAAGGACAAAATCCTGGGATAGAAGTGAGGTGTGCAGGTGTCTATTGGGGAGACAGGACTGAGAACAGGTTGCCAGGTTTTGGAACAGGCCAGTGCTCACAGGAACACTCATCAGAAAAAAGAGCTGGGAATGTAGCCGCTGGTCGGTAATTTGGGGGCTGGAGCTGCCAGTGGGACCGTGGTTCCTCCAGTCAACACCCTGCCCCCTCCAGCACACACTTGTGGTCACCGGGTGTATCTGGGTTCTGCAGATAATTCTGTTCTCAGGGGGAAGTTACGACTGTGAACTCTGGCTTTCCCATCTCCCTGCGTCATGATCTGACTCAGACACTAGACTGGCTGAGCTGGGTTAACCCCTGGCCCTCTCCAGGGTTTCTGTTCCTCTGGGCCTGGCCGAGACCTCCTCCTCCCTGCCCTAGGCGGGGAGCCCCACTTCAACCCAGAGCACCCTGGTAGTAGCAATACTGATTACCCTGCCCTGTAATTTGTCATTCACAAATCACACGCCTCTCCTTGAAACGGACTATCCGAGGGTGGAGGAAGGGTTTTTGTTTTTTGTTATTATCTTTGTATCTTCAGCAGCTAAGAGTGTGGGAATGAATGAAGGAATGCATGCAGGCTCCAGGAGTCTCCAGAGTACACCAAGAATAAATTCAGTCCTTGGAACCTGGTTGAGAGAAGTAGCCCTCATGGGACCATCCTGGCCTGTGTTAAAAGGCCATCAGGACCTAAAAATGACTGCTACAGGATCTGAGACCTCATCAGGACCCCTCCTGGCTTTCTGGAGAAGCACATGAGATTCAGGAAATAGAAGCATACATCCTGGGAAAACCCCAAACTTCAGGAACCAACCTTTGGACATCAGACAGCAGCAGCCAGGCGCCTCACACACCCTCTTCCAGAAGGGGTCACCTGGCTGTAACCTGTGAGTCTCTGCACTCTCCACTCTGCCTCAGCCCCTATCCTCTCTGTCTGATGACCTTTACGGGAGAAGGTGAGAACCTGGGCTAAGACTGACTTTCCAGCAGCTTCCCTGTCATCATTCAAATAAAATCCAGGCTCTTGACTACAGACTGAGCCTGCTGGGCGCTTGGACTGCATCTCCCTTCTCTCCACCTTGTTGGTACACTCTGACCTGCTGGCCCTTGGACGGCAAGCTCATTCCCATCTTGGAGCTCAGCGGTTGCTCTGTCTGCAAAGCTGGGGGCCCACAGGAGACAGGAGGCGGGCTGGTCAGGCACCCCCTCTCCAGAATGAGCTTCCTGTCCACCGTCCCTAAAGCAGCCCCGCCTCCCACCCGGTCCTTTGGCCTCGAGCACTTGTTGCCATCTGATGCCACCTCCAGAAGGGAAGCCCCCTGGAGGGAGACCCTAACCTTGTCTACCTTTCCCAGCTCTGTCACCAGTTCCTCCCAGCACGTCATCCTTGTTCAGTAAGAATTTAAGGAATGAATCTTTGGTCTCCACCAGGTAGACTGTGGAAGGCAAGGACTGGCATTCCAGACCTGGGCTCTCAAAGCCAGAATCTGGCTCCAGGCCCACTGCTTAACAGCTGGTTCTGGTGGGAAAACCAAGGCCACAAGTGAAGTTTCTGTCACCACCCCCATCGCTCTGGACAGGCCCTTCTGGCTGGATTGTCCTGACCTGCCAAAGGGTGGGATGACAACTGTGCTGTCTGCCCTCATAAAGGTGTCAGGGCTCAGAGAGGTAATGACTGGGAAAGGGCTATGCCAGCAAAAAGGTGCTGACAAACCCGAGGCTTGGGGATGGTGAAGCTTCTCCATGGCTTTAAATCTGAATGTGGCATTTATTTTTCCATACACAAAAATAAACTCAAAATGGATTAAAGACCCTAACGTAAGACCAGAAACTATAAAGCTCTTAGAGGAAAACATAGGCAGGACACTCTTCAACACTCCCTCCCCAGAAAGATCCTCTAGGACCCACCTCCTGGAATAATGGAAATAAAAACAAAAATAAACAAATGGGACCTAAATAAACTTAAAAGCTTTTGCACAGCAAAGGAAACTATAAATAAGGTGCAAAGACAACCCTCAGAATGGGAGAAAATACTAGCTAATGAAACAACTGACAAAGGATTAATCTCCAAAATATACAAGCAGTTCATGCAGCTCAATACCAGAAAAACAAACAACCCAATCAAAAAGTAGGCAGAAGACATAAATAGACATTTCTCCAAAGAAGACATACAGATGGCTAATAAACACATGAAAAGATACTCAACACTGCTTGGTATTAGAGACATGCAAATCAAAACTACAATGAGGTATCACTTCACACCAGTCAGAATGGCCATCATCAAAAAATCTACAAACAATAAATGCTGGAGAGGGTGTGGAGAAAGGGGAACCCTTTTGCACTGTTAGTGGGAATATAAATTGATACAGTCACTATGGAGAACAGTACAGAGGTTCCTCAAAAAACTAGGAATAAAACTACCATATGACCCAACAATCCCACTATGGGCATACCCCTGAGGAAACCATTTTTTAATATATTTATTTTTGACCAGGCCACATGGCATGCAGGATCTTACCAGGGATGGGACCTGCATGGCCTGCATTCGAAGCACGTAATCTTAACCACCATACTGCCAGGGAAGTCCCCGCATGTGGCATTTAATTTTAGATGAGCTTTTCATTCTTGTAGTTAAAAAAAAAAAGCATTGTTTTAATTTCTTCGTAAGCTTAAGGTAACCCTTTCACAGATTTTAAATATCTAAGGAATTCCGCGTGAATTCTGGAATTGGAAGCCCTGCTAAGAGGTCCTTGTTGTTTAGTCACTAAGTCGTGTCTGGCTCTTTGCGACCCCGTGGACTGTAGCCGGCCAGGCTCCTGTGCCCATGGGATTTCCCAAGCAAAAATACAGGAGTGGGGTTGCCATTTCCTTCTCCTGGTCGTTTGTCTGCTTCAGATTTCCTGCCCACAAATGCATTTGTCTGTTGTGCTCTCCAAGTGGGCCTTTCTGCTTGGCATTAGGTAACTGAAGGTCTGAGTTAAAGAACAATTTTGGGTCCACATTCCCGGCCCTAGGGACAGTTGAGGGAGGATCTTAAAAATCGATGTTAGATGACTTTAGATAAATGGCTCAGTTGGAGAGATCTAAACCTCCCACAGGCCTGAAATGGACTCCAGACATCTCTGGTCTTCCATTTCTCACCTGGATAAGGAATTAAAGGAGTACATTCCTTCTGGCGAACACTGGGGAAGAAAAATACAGGATGCCCAGTTTCATCTGCATCTTAGATGAGAAACAAACAATATTTTAACATAGATATACCCCAGGAGATATTCAGGACATTCTTGTACTTTAAACAGTATTCATCAGGGACTTCCCTGGTGGTCCAGTGGTTAAGACTTCGAGCTTCCACTACAAGGAGCATGAGTTGGATCCCTGGTTGGGGAACTAAGATCTCACATGCAGGGCAGCACAGTGAAATAAATAAATGGGCTATTTTGTTTTAAGTATTCATCATTTATCCATTTGCTCTGTATTTTACCTGGCAGGGTCTGTTTTGATCATTGAGTCTTTGGTCCTAGGAATGGAGGGACGTGATTGCTCTCACTTTTCCTGATTCACCCTACAAATGAAGAAGGTTTTGCTCTTGGTCTCCACTTGCTCCCATCCCTTGTCCCTCCCTCCTGACCATGTCTGGTGGGTCGTGGGCAATAAAGGGACATGACCTCAAGTCACCCCACCTGAGCTCTAGCTGAAATGCTGCCCACACAGCCACACTGCTTGGAATCAGCAGGGCACTTATCAATGTGAGGATGCCAGAAAAATGCTCAGGTCCTAAAACAAACCAGGGCAGTCATGTTTTATAACTAGTGGGAGCCTTTGATTCTTAGATAAAGGGACTTGGAGACCCAGAACATTTCCCTAAATGCAGAGCGAAACTCTGGTGTCAGCTTATTTATTTTAGTGTTGCTAAATGCCACTTTTAATGCTAATAATACCTCGCACTCCTATTGTGCTTTTCATCCAGGGCTGGCCAGGTGCTGTGTTCACATTAAGCAGCACAGCCCTGAAGCCCCTGGATTACATCATTCGACCGAGAGCTTCTTCCAGGTGGAACACACCAGAACAGAACTTAGGACTAGTGGCATCTGAACCTGAGCTGGGTGTTGGACGTTAGGTACATATTCCCCAACCCACACACACTCCTAGCCCTTCAAGCACAAAATTGGTGCTACCTTCTTTTTAAATAACCCCCTGCCTTTGGCACAATGACAAACACAGCAGGTGCTCAATAAATGTTTGCTGAATGTCTGAATGAGTAGCGAACAAGTCGGTTAACTGAGAAGTAAACCTTGAGTTCCTTTATTTGCTTTATTTTTCTGTGTGTAGGGCATGTGGCAGCAGCTGTCGGTCCTATGTCAACACCTCAGACTGTTTAGCATTTCTTCTTTTTTATGTAACTTTTCCCCCTTTTAAAGAACCTGATTTCTTTTTTAAAATATTTGTTGATTTTATTTATTTGGCTGAGCCGGGTCTTAGTTGCGGCCCACAGGATCTTCTATCTTTGTTGTGGCATGTGGGATCTCGTTCCTCGACCAGGGATCGAACTGGACGCCACTCATTGGGAGCGCGGAGTCCTAGGCACTGGACCACCAGGGAAGTCCCTGTTTAGCCTGTCTGAGCACAAGGCCTCTCCTGGGGCTTCTGCTCCCAGCAACACCTGCATCTGTGTCAGAGGACGGACCACGGGCAACGGGAACAGCATGTTCCCTGCATGTCCTGCCCCTGCAGCCCTTTAACTGATGACAGAGGGCTATAAACTCTCCAATTCCCTCATCCCTGATGGGGACACTTAGGTGTCACCTACAGCGTCCCCGAGGGACTGTGCCAGCGTTACCCTTCCAGGGATGTGGCCTGACATTCATGCCCGTGTCTGTCCTCCTCCCCTTCCCAGTCTTGTTTCCCCACCCTACGGGACACTTCCTAATGAGTCACTTTCACTAGAATCTCCCCTCGGGGTCTGCTTCCGGGGAACCCAGCTTGCCACTGGAGCATTTTGGCTCTCATCTTCTCAATGGTGCTGACTTTTTTTCTTGGACCAGGAAGAACCTTCTAGGAGGAAACAGCAAGAGCCATGACAACCACTGGTCTTACTACTGGATGAAGAGCAAGAGAAGATGAGGAACAGGTGAGGACTTTACTTCTACAGGGGCTGGAATATAGAATTTCAGCTTGGAATTTTCCTGAGCAAAGACAGCACAACTATGGGACCTGGCCAAGTAAGCTTCCAAGTAGTCACATAAGCATGCAGTTCTTCTTACAGGCTCCCCATCTGGGGGCTCTCTTCAGGCAAACCCCTGCAGGAGGAGGAAGTCAAGACCAGTGCTTGCTAAATGATCAATGCAGCCCCCAGAGATGGGAGGTCAGGCAGGACCCAGAGTGTGGGTGTGTGCTAAGTCACTTCAGTTGTATGCAACTCTTTGCGATCCTATGGACTGCAGCCTGCCAGGCTCCTCTGTCCTTGGGGATTCTCCAGGCAAGAATACTGGAGTGGGTTGCCATGCCCTCTTCCAGGAGGACCTAGAAAAGAGAATGTTTTTCGTCTTCTTCCATTTACATCAAGAAAGCCCACGAGCAAAATGGTGGGGGTGGGCAGGCTGAGTCAGTGTGATGGGTCAGGGGCCCTGTTTCCTCAAAAAGACTTTGAGAGAGTTATTTCTGCATACCCTGGGGGCTTTCTGGTCCCAAGCCTTCTCGTTTGTAGAGATCAAGTTCAGATGTTTGAAGGGGTGAGTCCTCTTTCCATCCAAGGGTTCCAAGCAGACCAGATGGGCTGGCATTTAACAACTTTCCTGGCTGAACTGCAGGAACCATGGCAGGGGTAGGCATCCTTGGGCTCCCTGAGAGTTTATTGGTTTGTTACATTTTAAACAGCTCCGGTGATGCTGCCGTAACCTACTTCGGAGGGAAACATTTATTATTAACATTGGTTTAACACTTAACTTTCTAGGGTATTTGTGGATGACACAGTCATACATCTGCCTTTTTATAGTGCTTCGCAGCAGAGCACAAGACCTTCTGGCTGACACCTCATACATCATCAAAATTAAGACCTCCAGGCAAGCAGATGAAAGTAGGACGGGGTGCGGTGGGGCCAGCAACTGGGGATGACTCTGATGGCTCCCAAGTTAACGTGCCTTTAGAGAGAGACTGTTTCCATTAAGGAGCAAATTATTCTTAACATTAAGACATCTTTGTTTCCATGACGACCCACAACAACCTGAAAGGGATGGTCCGTGGTGGCCATACGGCCAAGTGATGCTTTCGATCTCATCAGTGGCTGGTGGAGATGAATTCAGGGATGAGGGTCAGCCAGCCAGGGCTCAGCCTCCAACTGCTGGGCATTCAACACCCAGCTCTCCTGTGTTAAAGTCAGAAGAAACCTGGAAATCTGCAAGCCAAGATGAGAGCAGGTCCCCCATTTTTGTTGGGTTGGGGGGTGCTGCTCTGGGTCCTTATTGCGGTCTGCAGGTTTCCCTTGTGGAGCACGGGCTCCAGAGTATGTGCAGGCTTCAGTAGTTGCAGCATTTGGGCTCACTAGCTGTGGCACACAGCCGCTCCACGGCCTGTGGGATCCCAGCTCCCTGACCAGGGATCAAACCCACATCCCCTGCATTGGGAGGTGGATTCTTAACCACCGAACCACCAGGGAAGTCCCTCCCCTATCTTTTATAAGCATAACTGTATCATCATAGTGTCAGATTCTTTGCTGGAGACAATAATAACTGATAACTGTGAAGAAACAGTTGACAGAAGATAACATAACAAAAGGAGAAAATAGCTTTTTTTTTTTTTTTTGAACAGAACTTCTCTTTAAGGTCCAGCACTGACATTTTGGGGTCTCTTTTGTCTGTCTATAAAAAGAAAAGTGAGAGCCCATTATTGTGTGTTTTCATAAACACACAAGCTCAAACCCACAAGCCCCCTTTTCTCACTCAAATTGACCAAACGTGACAGCCGGCGGGGGGTGGGGGTGGGGTGAATTAACTTTCGATGCTCTTCAGAGGAGATCAGCCTTATCTGGGCCATAAAACCTGTCTGGGCTTTGTAACAAAGGACCATGACCTTTCTACTGAAAGGAAGCAACAATTATTGTCCCTCAGTTCTGGGTCTATAAGCATTTTTTGAGGAAGGTAAAAGAGAATCAAGAAAAAGCAAATTTCCTGAGAAGTGAGTAAGGACCCTACAATAGGCCTTGGGGGAATTCTTGTTTGAGACAACAGAAAACCGGCTGTGAAGAATGGCCTGGGTGGGGATGAAACTTAACACCCGTCCATCTGCTGGGGCCCACTTCCTCATCATCTTTCGTCAGTCCTGTGACATTAACAACGTTGTATGACATTTGCGTCAGGCATCAGATAACGTGCCTGATGGTCTCTAAACAATACGTCCAGAGAGGAATAGAGTGTTACAACTCAAAAAAGGACACAGGAGAGGAAAGAGAGCTGTCTCTGTCCCGCTCTGTCGCTCGGCAGTAAGATTCCCCTCAAGGCACTGGACCACAGCAAAGATGGAGAAAAGCAGAGAATGCCTTCTGCCTTCTGGGGGAGAAAAACCCACAGTGGAAACTGCTGTGAGAATCGTGAAAACATCACTGTAAGCCAGAGCTTTCCTGCACTGATGTCCTTTCTCCAAGTCCAGGCTCCAATCTGTAGGAGTCGGTATCCAGTTACGCTGTACCGTTGGTCCTCTGGACAGCAGGTTCCCCTCCCCGGATTCAGGGGCCGCAGAAGCCTCAGGTACCGAGGACCTTCGTTCTGTGTCACCGTATAGAAGGGACTTGGGCATCCAGAGTTTGATGTCCCAGGGGGCCCTGGAACCAAGTGCCCATGGATCCTGAGGGATGACTGCTCTTTTTGTCTTTGGTCCCTAAGTGATGGGACGTTGAAGTTTGTGTCTGCAGGACTCTCAAACTGTATCAATGCACCAGATACAGATGTCTTCATGGTAGGAGGGACTGGGGCTTTCTGTCCCTGAACCTGCATGCCAACAGCGGGGAGGCTCAGCTCTCATCTGGCGTAACCCTGATTGGATGGCTAACCTGAGGGCACACACTACCTGGGGCAAAGGTAACTAGCTTTGCTATAACGACATCATAAAGATGACTGAACAGGATTAGATGGCTGGATGCTGATGAACCGTTTAGGGCCGCTGTAAAACCACTGAGCATCGCAGGGCTCCCTCCAGCTTCTGGGGACCTTGGGTCAAGTGCTCATCAGATCCTGCTCATCCCTCCTGTGTGAGATCCCCGACCCTTGGTTCTGCTCCATAACGCCCGCCCTCCCCGCCCTCCCCGCCCTCCCCTACTGACACAGGCCCCACGGGGAGCTGTCACTTCCCTCCTCCCGGTCCCCGCTCCCCGCTGACGTCTGCAGCCCAGGGCCCTGGCTTTTCCTTTGACCCAGTGAACCTGCAGGCAACGCCTTTCCAGGCGGCGGGTGGGAACCACGTCTGAGTCACATTGGGATAAAGGAGACGTGGGAATGGCGAAGGGACACGGTGTCTAAGAACGTGACCTGGAGGCAGAGCTAGGTCTCGGGTGTGCGTGTGTGTGTGTGTGTGTGTGTGCGCACATGTGTGCACGTGCGTACCTTTCACTAAGGGACAAGGAAAACCAAGCTGGGGCTTTGCCGCCTGGTTCCTGTGCGAACTCTCCCACCCCCAAGCCCAACAGCAGCTGCGAGGAAGGGGCTTCTTCAGAATCCCAGCTGCCCTCTCCCAACTCATTTGCCCCGGCAGACTCTAAGGCTGAACTTCACTCTCCTCATCATCTTTAAAATGTCGGTTAAGCCTCTTGATCTGGGCTCAAGCAAAGGTACCTTTTGAAGAAGGTGATGTTATGGATTCCCACTGGAATGGACAGACGCTCTGCCCACCCCAGCCCTGATACATAGACCTAAATGAGGACACAGTGGGAAGGAGAGGGGTTCAACTCCCCCAGGTCTTCTCCTGATTTGTCCTGAGCAGCAGGTGAGCCTAGTGGGCAGGGCTAGGACTCCAGGGCTAGACTGCTTAGGCCAGCATCTCAGCTCTGCCAGTGGCAGGTTCTGAGACCCTGGGCAAGTCATTTAACCTCCCAGTGCCTCCAGTTCTTTTCTGAAAAATAGAAGTACCTTCCCTGTCATGTGGGGTTGTCAAGAGGTCCCAGTGAGTTCAAGCACACATAGGCTTTGGACCGCACCTCACAGCTGTAAGCACTCTTCAACTTGCCTTAAAGGCAAAAAGAAGACGATTGTGTCCTAAGAAAGGCCAAGGAACTCAGCCACATTGTCATGCTACTTCCCTGTATTGACTGTTTACACTGAAAATGAGGACATAGAAAGAAAGGGCAACCACAGTTTCTTTTCCCTTCAGTCTTTCCTTGCTCATCAGCAAGATGAGGGCAGAGAGCATTGGTAAAACGTCTGTGTATGGAGAAGTGAAACAAGGAGATAAGAGTCAGATGCAGCATTTCCATTGTTCTGGAAGAGATGAACTAGAGATGCATGTGCATTTATGAAATACTAACTACGTCACCTTGGAGGTGCTGCATCGGAGTTCTGTGTGCATTTAGAACCGTCACGGTGTAATCTAAAGGTGAACAATAAAGATCATGCTAATGTTAATAAATAATATGTGTGCATGTATACTTGGGACAGCATTACATCACAAATAAAATCACGATGACAGATCAGAGAGAGACCACCAGAGAAAGGTAAAAGGCTTTGTGTTTTAGGACCTCCAATGACACTTTTCCTGCTTTTTTGAACGAGGGGCCCTGCATCTTCATTTTGTAAATTATGTAGAGGGCTGCACCGCAGGCTGACTCCTTGATGTTCTCACAAACCTCTCATTCAGCCTCATTTCTCTTAGAGCCAGGAGAGTTTAAGGGTGGAGGGGGAGGCAGAAGAAGGGCTGCTGGGGTATTTTCAACTGGGGCCTGACTTCCCGGAGGCACTGAGATCCCCCAGAGGGTCCTCTGAGGCCCCGTGGCCACCTGTAGTCAGTACTGTCAGCAGCTGAGAGGATGGCATAGCCTCCCCCCACCCCCCCAGACACAGCTCCGCATCCAGTGTTTTGCCAGATGTCAGGTCTGAAAGGCAGCTGCAGCCGGAGGAAAGGAAAATGATGCCGCCTCATGAAGGTGGGTGTTGTCAGCCAGGGCTCAGGCCGAGGACTGGCCCGGCGCTCGGCTCTGAGTGGCAGGAGCGGGGCAGCACTGTCATTTCTCTTCCTGGGATCAAAATCAGACAAATCTCCTGTTTGGCTTACCAGGCACTAAGTGGATAACACCAGTGAATGTCAGTGCAAATTACAGCTCCAGACTCCTGTCGGCGGCTTTGTGCTGCTTCTTGTCACTCTAATGCAAAGAGACAGCATGGAGCTGATAACAAGCCAGAGGGCTGGGGGATTGGAGAGGGTGGCTGTGTCAGGGACAGGAAAAATGCATGTTGGAGAGACTCAGAGGGTAAAAACCCACAGCTATGACTTCCTTGTTTGCCTCTAGGAAATGGGCATTTAAGGGTGTTAAATGCCTGGACAACACCTCTTGGGTTTTTACAAAACTGAACAGTAACCTCATCAGTTCATTCACCCACCCACCCACCCATCCATCCATAGTTGAGTGTGTCCATCTGTCTTGAAGCCTGCAAGGGTCAGCTCCCATTAATACACAGCCTCACTCTATCTCCACCCACATCACACACTGGAGGAACCGATGCAGTCAGAACAAGAAGCCAGGCCTTCCTACAGCTGTGCTGACAAGCTAGTATCTAAGGAACCAGAAACGGGGCCAAGAAGGTAACTGTATGCGACACACGTCCTGTACATCCTCACAGGTTCCTCAGTGCCTGTTCCCTCTCTCACCTGATGTCCCACTTGCCCCTGGATACCCTCCACCTTTGAACGCAGATTAAATTCCTCACCACGGGCATAGAGTCTGGCTTCCTGGGCAGTCATCAGGGGCTGGAGAATGCTAGGGAGCTAACTCCCCTTGGGGGTGAATGTTAACCTGGGAGGTAGAAGCAAAACAGGGCAGATACACTCCTCCACCTTCCATTCTCCCACAAATGACCCTGGAGCATGAGTCCTTCTTGCCGCCTTTCTGGACAAGCTCTGGGATGAGTAAACCTGGTGTCCCCTAGAAGCTCAGGGGGAACTCACAGTGAAACAAAATCACCACAGTAACGTGTTACATGGCATCGCACAGCTTTTTGTCCCATTTCTTGGTTTCCCTAGCCTCCATCCCCCTAGACTTGTACCTTCTAATCGAATCATTAGAACCTTAATCCTTGCTCAGGGTCAGCTTTCCAGAGGACCTAGACCAAGGCAGTAAATAATATCTGTTCAATACCTGCCATGCGCCCACAGGGACTCTGAGGATATTCAAAGCCGATTATGGAACTTGGAAAACTCATTTAGGAGAGCAGGACCTGTATCCCAAGGTCACCTAGAAAATCAGAAGCAGAATGGGAGTGAAACAGTTGAAACTGAGTGAAAAATTGCTGGTGAAAAAAAGAAAGAAAAGAGTGGGGAGAATGTAGTAGAGACGGGGTGGCGTTAGACCTGCTGGGGCCAATGAAGGCTTGTGTATTCCTGGAGATTTTTGATCAAGATTCCAAGCCCCCAACTTGGTCTCCAAATTGGGAAAGATGTCTGTTTTGGAGACTGAGTTAGCGTTTTTCTCCACAGCAGGGGTAATGAAAGAGTGAAGGAGGGACCTTCCACTACCAGTGTCCTGGCTCCCTACTGCTGCATGATAAATTACCCTAAAACTTAGCGGTTTAAAACAGTACACATTGTCAGGGTTTTGACTTTAGCCATTGTGGTTTTGCCTTGCCTTTGTCTCATGGGTGGTGAAGTTGGAGCACCATTTCATATACTTATTCCCATTTGGTTATGTTTTTTTTTTAAATCACAAATAATGCTTTTAATTATTTAGCTTCTTACAGTACTTACATAACAGAAACTCACAAGTCCATGTTGCTCTTATTTAGTCACTAGGTTGTGTCTGACTCTTTGTGACTCCATGGACTGCAGTCCCCCAGGATCCTCTGTTCATGGGATTTCCCAGGCAAGAAAACTGGAGTGGGCTGCCATTTGCTGCTCCAGGGTGGTTATCTTTTTTGGGGAAGTACTTGGTCAAATCTTTTGCCCATTTTTTTCTTGTGGATTGTTGGTATCTTTATCAATTTATGGCCACGAGTTACATATCCAAGATAAATCTTTGGCCAGATAAATAAATGGCAAATATTTATCCCCTCAAAAAAACAAAACAAAAACAAAAACCAGTGTGAACAATTAGTACCTCTCACTGACTCAATGGACATGAGTTTGAGTAAGCTCCAGGAGTTGGTGATGGACAGGGAAGCCTGGCGTGCTGCAGTCCGTGAGGTTGCAAAGAACTGGATATGACTGAACGACTGAACTGAACTGACTGATGGGTCCTGTGGGTCAGGAATTCAAGAGTAGTCTGGCTGGGTGGATCCAGCTATGATCTCCCACTAAGTGAAGGTCAGATGTGGGCTGGGCTGCAGTCAAGTGAATGTCTGACTGGAGCTGGAGGGTCTGGCCCCAGGATGCTTTGCTCACCTGGCCATTGGCGGGAGGCCTTAGCTTCTCTCCATGAAGACCTCTCCCCAAGGGCTGATTGAGTGTTCTTCTGATGTCGTGGCTGGAGATACAAGAGGCCGAAGCAGAGGCCACAGTGCCCTTCATGACACTTGGCTTCAGAAATCACACACGATTCTCTGCTTGGTGGCTGCACAGAAGCCATGCTGCAAGGCAGAGAGAGCACATCCAGGGCCATAGGGACAAGGAGGTTGAGGACCCTGCGGGGAGGAGGAGCGTTTTTGGAGACTGGATCATAACTGTGTTCTGGAACATCAGAGCTGGGGGTTCTTAGAGACCAGGTTCTGTTTCAACAACCTCATGCAATAGCTGAGGAAACCAAAGGTCAGACATTAAGCAACTCACTTCAGGTCACTCAGTGAATCATCTGTTCATACTAAAGCATGCCTGCAGGCAGAACATTTCTTGGAGCCATGTGAGAATCATAGCTTATGGTCAATCAGAGTCACTATGCTGATGAGCTGTCAGAGGTGATGCTTTTAGATAAGAGCTGCTGAATTTGAATCCACTGCAAAGCTGATGACAGCAGTTCATTCATTCATTCATTCAAAATATATTTACTGAGTGCTTTTCTTGGGGTCTGGCAATGCTCCAGGCACTGGCATAGAGGTAAGCAAAAACATGCTCCTGCTCTCATGGACCTTACAGACATGCAGTGTGTAGTCTCATGGATAATGGAACTATTACAACCATGGCAAGTACTTGGAAGAAGAGGTTGAAGCACTGGGAGAACACAGAATACTAAGTTTGTCCCAGCCAAGGAAGCGTCTCCAAGGAAGAGATGATTCAATGATCACTTGACAGGCTCAAAGTGAGTTCCACTAACAATGAGACGATGATTTTTGTTCACAATTTGTTTTTCAGCTATTGTGTTTTCCACCTCCAGATGTTCCACTTGAGTTTCTTTTATATCTTCTATTTCTCTCATAATTGAGCTCATGGTTTCCTTTAACATCCTAGAATATATTTATAAGATTTATCATAGCGATTTTAACATCTTTGCCTGCCAGTTTCATCATCTCTGCCATTTCTGGGCATATTTCTATTTTTTTCCTCCCAGTTATAAGTCATATTTTCCTGCTGTTTGTCACGCCTAGTGATTTTCTATTGGATGCTAGGTAGTGGACATTTTACAGTATTAGGTATCAGATTTTGTTTGATTCCTGGAGAGAGTATTGGACTTTGCTCTGGCTCACAGTTACTTGGAAACAGTTTAATCTTTTCAGGGCTTGCGTTTCAACTTTGTCCAGAACAACATTTAGTCGAGGACTAATTTAGCACCGTGATTAAGGCAATACCCTCTGAGAACACAACCCATGTGATACAGGGTCTGCACTTTGGCTGGTGAGAATGCCAACGATTTGCAGCCCTGTAAAAACTCCAGAAATTGGTTCATCTGCTCCTTTTAGATGGTTCTTTTTCTTGCCTCAAGGAATTTTTTCACATGCAGTCAATGATCAGGGATCAAAGACGAGTTTTCTAACGAGACAACGGAGTTTTTCCCCGTGTGTAGAACTCCCTTCTCTCTGGCACTCTGCCCTGAAAATGTGAAAGTCCTTGGTCTCCAACAACTCTGAACTCTGCTTCAGTCCACAAGCCCATCAGCTTCATTTGAGTTCCTCTAGACAATGAGCTGGTGCCATTGCCAGAGGCACCTTGCTAGCTTCCCTTCACAGTCTTGCCTTGACTGTCGTCCAACGTTGTCCGTTTCATATACTTTTATCAATGTTGTTTCATATACTTTTTCTGGTTATCTAGTTATTTAAGGCAAGGATATATATCTACTCCCTGTGACTGATATGGCATATCAGTCTTTAACTTTATTTTTTTTTAGTCTTTAACTTTTTAAATGACTTTACTGAAGCATAATTGGTAAAATAAATTGAATACATTTAAAGTGTAAAATGGGCAAGCCTTGACATATGAAATCATCACCACATTGAAGACAACAAACACATCCATCACCTGTTTTATGATCTGTCCTTCTGGTTCCCCAGATCTTTCCTCCCAGGCAACCACTGATCTGCTTTTAGCTACAACAGATTAGTTTTCATTTTCTAAAGTTTTATATAAATTTCTTTTTGTCTGGCTTCATTCAATCAGCATAATTATTTTGACTCATGCATCTGTTGTTTATATCACTAGTTTCTCCTTGTTTGTTGCCAAGTAATATTCCCATGTATGGATATACCACAATCTGTTTGGCTATTCATTTATACCATGTTCATTTATTCATTACTGATGGGCATTTGGATTGTTTCAGTTGTGGCTATCACACATAAAACTGTTATAAACATTTATGTAAGAGTCTTTATAAGGACATGTGTTTTCTTTTTTCTTGGATAAGTACCTAGGGATAGAACATATGGTAGGTGTATGTATAAATTTTAAAGAAACTGTTTTCTAATGGCATTTGTTTTAGAGTCAGTTTTTGTTTTCTTTGTTTTTGGACCCATGTGGTGGTGTGGTAAAGTTAAGATGTTTCCATATAAACGTTCAATTTCTCTTATGCTGAAGCAGTGAGCAACTGTCATATTGATTAGTCTCAGCCCTCACCTGTTTGGAAGGTAGACCTTCACCACAAGGTGGGAAAAGATAAGAATACAAGGGGCTCCCAGCCTAGCTGACAGCAGTGGGAAAAAAGACAGAACACTGGAATTTTTTTTTTTTTTTGCTTTGAGGCATTTAAACAAAAATTAAAGTGAAAGTTGTTCTTTTTGGATAGTCCATCCTTTCCCTATGATTTTTGAAAACATAAAATGTTGGAAAACTTAGGTCAGAGCTGTTTTTTGGAGTTTTGAGCTATCTCCTTGATGTGTGGGCTCTGAAGCTCCTGTCTGTGAATGAATTCACCCTTTGTTTCACCTTTCCCTGCTGAACAATGCTGGTGAATTAGAAGGAGATATCCAGTAGGGATAAGTAGCTTTTCTTTGATCCGCACACAAATCGAGCTCCATTTAGCCAACAGAGGAACGGGATTCACAAACGCCCATGTGGCTCTGAACCCATGACATATTTAATAGGATGGGCAGCAGCAGTGTAATCCATCTCAACCACCTCGTTCCACCTTCTTCAATGTCCAGCACACATGGATTCTCTTAAAGGAGTTTCCTAACGGCAGGCAATATTGTTATCCTTCTGCTAATATCTCACACAATGTGAGATGTCTGGCACTTGGCAATATTATTTCAGTGCAGAGACCCTTGAAAGCCACATGATCCCTAGGGTGATGGAGAGGAATAGAAGATGGGGAGAGAGTGCCCAGGTGGCTTCAGCCTCCTCTGTCCTCCTAACAGTGCAGAAGCAACTGGAGATCAGAGGCCCAGGGCCCTTGGGGGCTGCCGGCACCTGCCAATGCCCTCAGAGCAGGTGGCAGCGTCTCTGGAAAGGGCAGTCACCACCCCCAAGAAGCAGTCTGCCTCTGACTCTGTGGCTGGCCCAGCTCACAATACAGCTTAAGGATGTTCGTGTCCATGTTTATTAAAGACCTGGGACAGAAAGGGGCTCCTCTGGTGGCTCAGACAGTAAAGAATCTGCCCACAATGCAGGAGACCCAGGTTCCATCCCTGGGTCGGGAAGATCCCCTGGAGAAGGGAATGGCAACCCACTCCAGTATTCTTGCCTGGAGGATCCCACGAACAGAGGAGCCTGGCGGGCTACAGTCCATGGGGTCACAACAAGTCAGACACAACTGAGCGACTAACACCTTCACTGGCGTGATCCCCTCACACCCTTTTCTTAACTGGCCCTTTAAATCTTCAGTTGTGTGATGTGGGCTGAGGCCAGGGACAGGGTCCCTATTGATTACTGTTTCTCATTGTTGGGTTTAGGTTTTACTCTTAATAAGGATGCTGCTCCCTGTTTTGTTAGGTGGGGCTCCACCTCCCACCTTCCCGACCACAGACATAATCTTGTTTGCACTGAGTCTTCTGGGTCCTGCAGCCACCCCATCCATGCTGGCCATGTGCCCCAAGATGGGGGCCACTGATGCCAGCATGGGATTGAGCCTCCTCACCTGGGCACACGGCACACTCTGGAAGCTGGTTGATACAAGTGATGAGTCAGGCTCAGCTGACAGTGATGTCACAACAGATGGCTGTTTGGAGAAAGGTAAGCCAGCTGCCACCAAGTATCCTGGTTCTCTGGCAGGTGATGGGCAGAAGACCGAAGGCATCTCCTTCTTGGCTTCCTCCTGCTTAGACAGCCTGGTTGTGCTGGGGAAATAAACATGCAATTGATTTTGTTGCCTCCACACCCTTGGTACTGTGGCTGAATGGCTGTGGTTGTCATGGCAGCGAGCAACATTTTTGTTATCATCTGTGGCCTTTTTCTCTCCCCCGGGAGATGTCTGACATGATTCCGGTTCTCCACGCTGGTTCTGTTCCTTGTATTTTGGGGGATGGATGCTTCCTCCTTACCTCTGATTGGGGAGAATTTCCATTGGTTTGGAGAGACTGGCTGATGTGTGGGAAAGATGGGGGTGAGATGAGAAAAGAGAATCGAAGGAGGGACAAAATTTTGTATGTGAGTGGAGGGAAGATTGGAGCAAGGCGACAGGTTGTCCCTGGGTGACAGAGGGGAACGGAAAAGGAAATAAGGGAGCTGGGGACAGACAGAAGTGGAAAGGGACAGAGGGAGGAGGTGCACGTGGAGTGGAGGACATCCCGTCCTCAGACACAGAGACTCTCGGCTGCGGCTGTCAGAGCCCCTCCTGTCTCCTCACACGGGCTCGTCCACTGTCCTCTGCCCCCTAGCAGCCCCAAAGCCTCCGGAGGGCAGTGCAGCCTTCTCCTCTGACCCCAGCCCACTGGCTTCACCATGCGCCTCATAATATCAGGCAATTCAGTGCTGGATGAATTAACGCATGGATGGACATTCAAATGCTTTTTAAGATTGAAATCACTGAATAAGGCTTTGGGGGACTGATGGAAGGGAATCAAAATCCCTAGTGACAGATGGTCAGACTCACCTGCCAGCTCATGGATTTGCGCTGAGAAAGGCAGCTTTGAAGATGAGTGGAGGGAGATACAGTATTGGCTGGTCAGAGGGCACTGCTCTTTGAGGGAAATTCCTCCCCAGTTCTGGGCACCCGCCTGAGACTGCTCTTCTGATGCACTAATTATGGCGGAAGCAAAGCAGGTGTCACTGGCCGAGGTGGTGAGTCAGCTTGCCTGGTGTCTTCATCTCCAAAGCAGCCCTATGCTGAGATGCCTCAGGCTCCTGCCCTACAGGATGGGGAACGAGACTTGGAAACAGTGGCTTCTTATCACAGTCGTTGTAGGGTGCCATCAGGTGACAACTGTGACTGCGTGTCCCCACTGTGGTCCCAGGGTACCTCTTGGAAAACATATCCTGGCTGCCCTGGGCACAGACCCTTCTTGCAGACTCCTTGGAAAGGAATGATGATGAGGACAGGGTGAAATGAGAAAGGATAGGGGAGGATGTCTCTGGGCTTGCCTCATGGGAATGCTTCATCTAAAAGGATGGCCTTTGTGTTCCTTCTGATATGGTCAGAGCTATGCGTAGCCTTGCACCTGAGCCCAGCCCTAGGCAGAGCAAAAGGTTTACAACAGAAAATCCCAGCTTATGTCTAGTGCTGGCAGTTACAAATCTATGGGAACAAATAGGGAAACTGACCCATGTTAAACAAACTCACAGGGGACTGATGGATAAACCTGAATGCTACTTAGTTGTGCGGCATTCTTCAGGTTCTTTGGAATCTGAAAATCCGCCCTGGTAAATAGACCTTCTGTAGGACTAATGACGTGACACTGTCTATTAAAGAAAAGTGTCCATTAAGCCTTATTCCCAAGAAAGGTAGGAAATGGGGCAGGGAACAAGTCTGCTCTTCTTTGCACTTGTTAATTCTTGCTTTTTGACTCAAGCAAAGGAACTTGATTAGAGGGGGAAATAAATTTTTACTAAATGTCAATCCTAGTATTTTCTTTTTGGATGTAACTATGATTATTAGTTATCATATGATTAGACCTCCCCCCACCGGGTGGAGATCTGGGTAAAGCTGGCTTGAGTCATCAGACCCATGACCTTCAGAAGCCAAGGGCCTCCACCATGATCTCTGCATGTCCTCAGGGGCTGCTGTGGTCCTGGCTCCTTCTGTCTTCCCATGCCCTGCCCTGGCCTGCCTTTTGCTCATATGTGTGCGGTCGTTACTCTGTGCTATTTCATGCCACAACTCTCATCAAGGATATCAAGGTTCTCTCTCACACAGAATATCTGTGAGCTGAGCAGAATGTGTCAACTATTACAGGAGTGAAAGGGCTAGAAGGGGAGAACAGATTTCTATCATAGCAGCACAACTTCAAAATCCAACAGAAGAGCATCTCTGATCTTCACGCAGCCTCTGGTCCCTGACATGGACACTTGCCCGCTCCCTCCCGCCTCTCTCCATCTTGCCCTTTCCCCTGCTCCTTCTTCCTCTCTCCTTTATGCTTTCCCACACTCTCCTAGTGGTTAAAAAATGCCTCCCACATTTTGGGCTTTTTTTTTTTTTTTTTTTTGTACATCAGAGTGGTTTCAATATCAAGACCTCACATTTACCCCAAGCATGTATTAAGGTCTTTTTTTTTCTCCAAACAAAGGTAGTCCCCACACCCAAGAAACACACCCACGCTGCTAGGATAACAGAGACATTGTATCTCCTTTCCAAAACAAATCCTACTGCACTTCTCCACTTCAGTTTCCTCTAAGCACAAGAAGGGTTTAGCTGTGATCAGCTCATCCCGGGCTACACCTTTTAGACAAGTCTGCTGACCAACTCCTGTCTGTTACTTCCAGGCTATTTGTGGGAGAAGCCACCTATGAGATCTTCAACAAATACTTAAACTCCCCAAGCCGCCTGGGGGACGGAAATGACAGATAACATACAAAGCTGTTACAAAGATCAACTAATGGACTTCCCTCATGGTCCAGTGGTTAAGAATCTGCCTTGCAATGCAGGGGACAAGGGTTTGATCCCTGGTCCAAGAAGATTCCACATGCCGCAAGGCAGCTAAGTTTGTGCACCACAACTACTGAAGCCCGTGCACCCTGGAGCCTTTAAGCTGAAACTACTAAACCTCTGCCCCTTCTCCACAACAAGAGAAGCCACCACACAGAGAAGCATGTACACCACAACTAGATAATAGCTCCTGCTTCCCGGCTGGCTCAACGGTGAAGAGTCCACCTGTGATGCAGGAGACGCTGGAGACCTGAGTTCGATCCCTGGGTCAGGAAGATCCCCTGTAGGAGGGCATGGCAACCCACCCCAGTATCCTTGCCTGGAGAATCCCATGGACAGAGGAGCCTGGCGGGCTACAGTCCATGCAGAAGCAAAGAGTCGGATACAACTGAAGTGATTGAGCACGCACGCCGCAAATAGAGAAAGCTCACACAGAGCAACGAAGACCCAGTGCCGCCAAAAATAAATTAATTTAAAAGAAAAAAGATCAAGTAACATGATGAGTGTGAAAATGCTTTCTCAGCGACAGAGCCCAATGAAGCTTATGATTGGTTACTCATGGGGCCATGCTAGCCAGGGACCCAAGCAAGGCGGCCACTGGTTGTCCGAGTCATTGTGTGTCTTCCTTTCTTGGTAATGTCAGCTTGACTGATGCACTAGTCCAAACACTCTGGGGCAACAGTTGTTGTGTATAAAGAGCACCTGATGAATAGAGAACTAGCTGTCCTGCCAGAGGTAGAGCGTCTCAGCCTACGGAAAGTCTCTATTTGAAGAACACAGAAATGCCCATGTGCCTGCATGCAATCCTTGCCTCTGAGCATCTTATAATTTATAGCAAGCACCACTTTTCAAAAAACTATTCCTCTACTTTTATTTCATTACACAAACAATAATTGTAGATTATTAAAAACAACAGTGGGAAAGAGAGAGACTTATTTGCAGCCCCTCATTCAGAGAAAATCACTATAGTGCTCTAGTGTCAACGCAGCCTAATTTTTTTTTTCTGTGTGTTGGTGTGAACTTCTCCATAACATTTTGCTGCACAGTAGATCATACTTCTTTTATTTTTCTCATAAATGAAGCCTATCTCAGTCACCCACCTTTTAGATTCATTCACTCACTCAACAGATATCAACTGAATGCTTACGATGTGCTAGGCACTCTTCCAGGTGCTGGGGAAACAGCAGTGAGAGAACAAACATCTCTGCCCTTGTCCAGCTGACCTTCTAATTGGGGCAGACAGACAAATAAACAAATAAGAAAAGTAGTACAGCGTGTGGAGATAAAAGACATGAACATATCGCAACAGGGGAAAAGGCTTTGGGAGTGTCTCGTACTAAGTCACTTCAGTTGTGTTCAACTCTTTGTGACCTCACGGACTGTAAACCACCAGGCTCCTCTGTCCATGGGATTCTCCAGGCAAGAGTACTGGAGTGGGTTGCCATGCCCTCCTCCGGGGGATCTTCCTGACCCAGGAATTGAATCCACATCTCTTATTGGCAGGTGGGTTCTTTACCACTAGCGCTACCTGGGAGTGTTGGGCAGGCAGAAATTTTAAATGAGGGTGCTCAGGGAGAGCCTGAAAGCCACAACCTGAGGAGACAAAGAACTAAGCCATCTGGAGACCCCACGGCAGGGTGTTCCAGCAGAGGGAACGGCACGCGCCAAAGCCCTGGTGTGGAAGCGTGCCAGGCACGTCCTCGGAACAGTAGGGAGGTTGGTGTGGCTGGAAGAGAGTGACAGAGTAGATGGGGAGTAGGAGGTGAGACAGGGAGCTCACACAGCCTGACAGTGCGGCGCCTTGACAGCCAGAGTAAGGGTCAGGCGGTTCTCCGATGGTACCCTACTGGGGGACTGGAGTGTCACTACTGGGGGGTTGGAGTTACACCATCTGAGTTAACCTTGAGGTTAAAATCCAGGTGGGGAAAGGTAGGAGCAGGGGGCCAGGGACGAGGCTACTGTAATAGAGATGCTAGTTATTTGGACCAGGAGGGTGTCAGAGGTGGTGAGGTGAGGTGGTGCCTTGATATATTTGAAGATGGAACTGAAACATGAGATGGAGGAGGAAGGTTGAAGGTGATTCCAAGGTCACCCTGAGGCATCATTTAGAGAATGGAGAGCTGGGGAAGACTGCGGGAGGCCCCAGGGTAGGGAGGCATATCAAAGTTGGTTTTAACATGTTAAGTAGCCAGATGGAGGGGTCCCAGAAGGAGAGGAGAGAATGGACTTGAGAAAATATTTGAGGCGACAACAACAGCTGAAAACTTCCCTAACACAGGAAAGGAAACAGTCACCCAAGTCCAGGAAGCACAGACAGTCCTAGGCAGGATAAACTCCAGGAACGCGCCAAGACACACAGTAATCACACTGACAAAAACTAGAGAGGAAGAAAAAAATATTAAAAGGAACAAAGGCAAGGCAACAAATAACTTACAAGGCAACTTCCATCATGTATTAGCTGATTTCTCAGCAGAAACTCTGCAGGCCAGAAGGGAGTGGCACAATATATTTAAAATGATGAAAGGGAATAACCTACAACCAAGGATGCTCTACCCAGCAAGGCTCTCATTCAGATTCGATGGAAAAATCAAAACTTTTATAGACAAACAAAAGCCAAGAGAATTCAGCATCACGAGACCAGCTTTACAATACACAGTAAAGGAAATTCTCTAGGTGCAAAAGAAAAGGCCACGACTAGAAACAAGAAAATTACAAATGAAAAAGCTCACCAGAAAAAGGCAAGCATACAGCAGAGGTAGGAAATGACCTCCACACAAATATGATATCAAAACGAGCAATTGTGAGATAATGAGAGCACAAATGCAGGATACTGAAATGCATTTGAAATGGAGAGATCATCAATTTAAAACAATCTTGTTTATGTATAGACTGCCATATCAAAACCTCATGGTAGCAAAAAACCAAATATCTATAACAGACAAAAGAAAATGGGATCCAAACACAACGCCAAGGTGAGTCATTAAATCACAAGAGAACAAAAGATGACAGGGAGAAAAAAACACCTACAAAAACAAATCCAAAACAGTTAACAAAATGTGCCAATAAGAACAGACATATCAATAATTATCCTAAATGTAAATGGATTAAATGCTCCAACCAAAAGATACAGACTGGCAGAATAGAAACAAAAGCAAGACCCATGGACATACTGTCTCCAAGAGACCCACTTCAGATCTAGGGACACATACAGACTGAAAGTGAGGGATGATAAAAGGCATTCCAAGCAAATGGAAATCAAAAGAAAGCTGGAGTGAATGAATGGCTTTTATATCAGACGAAACAAATTTTAAAATAAAGACTGTCACAAGAGACAAAGAAGGATTTATATAAATAAGTTTTTGCCTGCTGATAACAGCATAAGAAAAGTTTTCGCTCACTTGTGTTTTTGTCTTGATGCTGGAATTCAAGTGAGGAATTAACAGAAGGCTTTTTTTTAAATTAATTTTTATTAGTTGGAGGCTAATTTACTTTACAATATTGTAGTGGTTTTTGTCATACATTGACATGAATTAGCCATGGAGTTACATGTATTCCCCATCCCGATCCCTAACAGAAGGTTCTTAGTGATAGTCGTTTATTGCAATAGGATGATGCAATGGGTGACAGAGACCAGCAGGTTGTAGGCACCTATTTTCTACACAATCACCAAAAATATCTGTTTGGCTTTAGAAAGAGGAAATGTATGAGATTATCAAGCTTTGTGAAGCTTGGACAAACCTAAGTATAAGCTTAGGACAAAGCTGCTGCCTAGCTTGGAGAAGCTGGAATTGTAGGTACCCACAGAAGTTTGGATAAGCACTAACTCATAAGTGTACATTGAAAGTGACTTTGATCCAAAACTGCTTTTCAAAACTTCTCATTTCCCCCTGAGAACCATTCTAAAGAACTACTCTCTGTCCATTTCTGAGAGAAGATGATTTGTGTACACAATCATCAACCTTAAGTTCTTTCTACTAGTCAAATGGAGCCATATACACGAAAAATCTTATATGTTTACATTTACACAGCCATTCTAGGATTTGATTTGTTTATCCCTGAATTCCCATTTTCTTTAAGAAAATCCTTTAGCATATTGTTATAGGCATTAGGGGCTTATATAGACAGAACATCTTCAGTAAGCCTTAAAGACTCATGTAGCACTCATACCAAATCATTTGGACTGGACCCACAAAGATATTTTCTTTCATAACTTAACCATATGCATATATTAAAAAAAAGTTTATGTAAAGCAGAAAGAAGGAAAAGAGAGGGAGAGAAAGAAAAGGGAGAGCATGAGACCTTTTCTTTGCGCTCACTCCCTGACAGTGAAGTGTTGCTTATTTTAAAAAGAGGGCCCAGAATGTTAAGGGGTTTGAGGGGCGCCAGCGAATCACATTCCCTTTCTCACATCCTCACTTGAGCCCTGAACCAACTGAGTCATAAACAAAGGTATATAGTAGGGCAGAGGGGACCAGAAGGTCACTGACACAGAGAGAACTGAAGTTGGAGAGACACGACTGTATTGGCTACACGTCCTTCCAGACGCTGAATCCCGGAGTGAGGCATCTCACTCACCCCCCTGTGGCAGAACTGGACCAAATGGCCTGTTCTGTGAGATTTACAACATGGGAGAGCAGACCCAAGAGGGTTTCGGTGATTTCTGCCCAGCTTCTTCTCCTTCCAAACTCACGCTCTAAGCCTCTCCCTCCCAGGAGGGTGACAAGGATGGGGGCTGGAGGAATGGAGGGAGTCCAGGGGTGTCATACCAGGCGCACTGCCCTGCCTCCACTGGGATGGAAGCATCTTGGGGAAATAAGCTACCCCACCCACTCCGTCCCCCACCAACACACACCTTCTGAAAGACAAAAGGGTCCCTTTAGACCCTTGGAAGTGGTGATTCACTCTTCCAGTGAATCACCAGGGGGCCCTGCACAGCTCTTGTCAGGACAATGAAACACCAGACACCAGGTCATGTGCTGACACTGCTATTCAGAGAGAGATGTGGGTGTACACATGCGTGCACACACACACACACGCAGGATCATGCCACATGATCATGGTATAGTTTACAACTGCTCCTTTCACTTGATAACATATCTGGACTCTGCCTTCAGTAAATATACTTTTACGAAATCATCTTAATAGCCAAATATCACCCCACTGTGTGGTATACCTGTCGTTTGGTCACCAACCTCCTATTGTTCCCAGTCCTTTGCTACTGTTAAAAACAAACAAAAAATTTAAAAAAGAAACATTGTCTGAACCTTCTTACAGCCAAATCGGTTTACATGCTTGATTCTAAAGATACATGCCTGAAATTGGAATTGCTGGATTAAAGGGAAGGCATGTTTTTAATACAATGGGTTACATTTTGCAAAAGGCTGCATTCGATGCCACTGTGACAATCCAACACACAAAGGACAGAGAGTAGGCAAAAGAGCTAGTTTACCTGAAGACTGTGGACACGTCCCCCACAGGCCCTTGCACCATGCTGGGTTCCACAGGCCCTCCGCTCACTGTGTGTGGACCAGCGAGCTGAAAGAACCCATGGGGAGGGACACTAGGTCTGGGCCTTCTGCACGTGACAAAGGCAAGTGCATCTTCAAGGGTGAGCAGGGGCCTCTCCTGGTTGGTTCAGGTGACACGGTGGGTCCGGGCCAGCTGCCCATGCTCTTCCTCTGTGCCCGAAATGATCTAAAGTCAGAAAAACAACATCTTCTGGTTTCGTTTCTCATGAGCGTCTCCCAGATGACCCACTCCCAGCTATCTGTGGGCTCAAGGATACATGTGGCATTTGCTTTGTCCCCAAGTCCGTGCCTGGAACCTGGACCCTCATTTGCCGTTTTCACATTCAACGACTCATGGAATGTGTGTGCCTCTTTGGAGGGCACTTTTGAATAGTTGTTGAGCTCACGGGCTAATATTTTCGATGCAGCACCTCTAAAGACAACCTGAATACACACAGGCCCATGGCAGGAGTGGACTGCTGATGCTCCTGATCACAGGAATGGTTTTCTGGTGGCTGAGGCCAAATTCTAATGAAGGGTTTTCAGGTTCTCAGGGCTAGAATTGAGGCAGGGTCTCACTGTGCCCAGGGAAGTCGGGCCCCGAGAACAGGGAGGTGGGCTCTACAAAAGAAGGCCCCCCAGAGTGTGGTAGAGAGCTTAGGGGTAAAACAGCCCCCATTCAAAGCTCAGTAGTGTGGGCAAGTCACCTGACCTCCCCGCACCTCAGAGTCCTCAGCTGGAAATAAGGGAGTCAGGCCCGGGATAGTGTAAGGGTCTGACTGAGAAAGGTGCATATAATTACAGGGTAAGTGTCTGCTAAGGGGTAGACGTTATTCCAGCATCAATATGACCAAATAGAGACAATAAGATCCCAAAGAAACAGATTTTAAAAAACCACTTGACAGGGAAGAAGGAGAGTCAAGTTAAGGATGTGGGGTTAAGGGATATGAACTACTATGTATAAAATAGATAAGCAAGAAGGGTATATTGATGGGAATTATAGCCATTATCTTGTAATCACTTAATGGAGTACAACCTATAACAATACTGAGTCATTATACTGCATACCTGAACCCAACATAATATTGTAAATCAACTACACTTCAATAAAAAAAGAAGGATCATTGAACATCTCTCACATCCCTATATGCCCAGGGCGTAGACACAGTCAGCACTCGGTAAACATTTGAGGACTCAGATGAATGAATATGGGCCAGGTCACGTCAGTCACATAGGAAGCAACACAGTGAGGAGCTGGTCCCTGGAGAAGCTAAGAAGATTTCTGTGACAATACTACTACTCATAATAAAAGTAGCAGAGGATGATACGACACTCAGATGCCTGACACTACACCTCACGTCAGCCCTGGAAGGTGACACTTGTGGCCCCGAGAACAGGGAGGTGGGCTCTACAAAAGAAGGCCCCCCAGAGTGTGGTAGAGAGCTTAGGGGTAAAACAGCCCCCATTCAAAGCTCAGTAGTGTGGGCAAGTCACCTGACCTCCCCGCACCTCAGAGTCCTCAGCTGGAAATAAGGGAGTCAGGCCCGGGATAGTGTAAGGGTCTGACTGAGAAAGGTGCATATAATTACAGGGTAAGTGTCTGCTAAGGGGTAGACGTTATTCCAGCATCAATATGACCAAATAGAGACAATAAGGTCCCAAAGAAACAGATTTTAAAAAACCACTTGACAGGGAAGAAGGAGAGTCAAGTTAAGGATGTGGGGTTAAGGGATATGAACTACTATGTATAAAATAGATAAGCAAGAAGGGTATATTGATGGGAATTATAGCCATTATCTTGTAATCACTTAATGGAGTACAACCTATAACAATACTGAGTCATTATACTGCATACCTGAACCCAACATAA